GTGGGTAGTTAGTCCTCTTGACTTCACAGGAGAATCAACAGGCAAAAAAGTATAAGCTCAGGGCTTTTAATTCTCAGTTCAAGTAATAGAGAACAAAGGAGATCCTATGGCAGTCTCAAAAGAATCTCTTATTTCTTGTAGCTACAGGGCTGGCTTCTCTTTAAAAGTAGATGCATATTTTAATTGTACTAATTATAGAATTACAATGTAAATCAAAATCTTACATTGGCCATGTCTCTTATGAGAAAATTAGGACATTAATTGGGAAGGAAAGTGAGGCTAAAATGTATGGTGATATCTGAGTGGACTTGAACAATGCTGAGAATCTTAGAACTCTTAAGATTTTATACGACATTTTAAAAAAGATTTTTATTTATTTATTTGAGAGAGTGCACACGCACATACAAGTTGGGGAGAGGGGCAGACAGGGAAAGAAAGGGGCAAGCAGACTCTGCTAAGCATGGAGCCTCATGCGGGGTTCCATGAGGGGCTAGATCTCAGCATCCTGAAATGATGACCTGAGATGAAATCAAGAGTCAGGTACCAACCAACTGATCCACCCACACGTCCCACTAAGACTTTCTTAGCAATGGAAGCAACCCACCGTCCTGGATGTGAGATGATCCTGCTCTTGTATTAAGACCCTTCAGTAATTCAACCAGGTAAAGAATTGCAAATCAACCAGTTGACAGGCTGACTGAGAGAAAAGGGTAATAGAAGAAGGAAGTTATTTATATCAACTACAATCATGTAACTAATATAGGTATGGGGACCATAGAAGCCATGCATATTTTATTCCTTGTTTACTATTACTTTCATAAAAATATATAGCTCTGTCTTTGCATAAAAATCACATGGGTATTTAAACAAATTGATATTTGTATATATTAAATACTTTCTTTTGATCTCCTTTCTTCTATACCCTTGCTGTTTTATAGAAAGGGGTTTTCATTATAGACAGGCTTACAATTGAATCTTTGGGAAATAGATTATTCAAGGGGGACTGTGATTATATTAGAAGATTAAATGTCATCACTCAAAAATGGATGCTGTGATTCTTGCCTAGAAATGGATATGATGGCTGTTTGCATTTTGTGTATCACCTTTTTGGACAAATGCTGAGAGCATTTTATTTGTATGAAGCATAATGGCATCTTATTGCTGTGAGACAGTATACATATACACAGAAATGAATGTATGATATCCACTAACTGACATGGTGAAGTATAGCAGTTATTAATCATTTATCTGTCACCTCCAAATCCAACTTTCCATACTCTATTTTATGATGCTGGGGCTGGGACCCTTTAATGTTCATTTCTTCTCTGCCACTGTCAGGTTATTCTAGTAGAAAGCACTGAAGGAAGAGTAGAGAGCAAAGGGAAAGGAAAAGGAACATTCTCCTTTTTATTAACTTGCTTTGCCCTTTAATGTTACCCTTCACCTTTGTGAAAACAGTTGATTCCAGTCTCCAGTGTTTTGCACTCCCAGAACCAGCCCCATTGTGCTTTCTCAAGGTGTCCATTTCAGTCAAGCAGCACCTCTTCCTTTCGAGTCTGATCCCAAATGTGCAAGTGTTCTCTTGCACACAGCTGAGATCCTAGCAGCATGTGGACAGACCACAGAAGTCTGAGACCCAGCCAGAGGTGCCCCTCCTCTGATTATCTGTGATTCCACCATCAGCTATGTGGAACTCTGACTTTGGAGGTCTGATTCCCAGTTCTGGGGCTTCCTTCTCTGAGCTGCTTAGCTACTCTCACTATCCAGGTGACAGCATCTTTTCAAATGACTGAGTCCAGCTCTGTAAGTACGCTTACCCAACTTTCTAGGCTCGGCAAAAGAGCCTACCAGTTCTGTTTTGGTGTCTGCTCCTATAGTTACTATCTCTGCATTGCTCATTTATCAGCTCCTTCTATATTAAATTCACTTTATTAAAATACATAAAATCTAGTTTCTGTTTTACACAGTCCAAATTTGTGTTGGCTGGGATAAGTCATGTCACCATTCAGATTCAAATCTTTACCTGTTTAATTGGTGGGTGGTTATAGAAGGGATAGTATAAATAATACTAAGATGGTGTTTCCCAATTTTTTTCTGGTGAATACTAATCCCAAAATTTCCTCCCAGCAAAATAATACTTATGGTCATGGGGATTTGGGAAATGTTAAATACTATAGCAAACAGTGAGAGAATCATGGTGCACATAAGCATAATAAATGCTCTGAGCAGTCCAGCAGAAAATATTCAACATCTCTTCCCAAATTATTTGACTAGGAAAACTATTTTGTTTACAGTTAATCTCTATTACCACTCCATGACATACATTGAAAAATAGTATTCTCTAGAATCCTTAGCAATTCAGAAATGTTATAATTTTATTATTTTTTTCAAGATTCTTTTATCAAGGAGAAATCTAATACCAATAAATTGGTTTTACTTATCTATTTCAGCTCTAAGCATAAATGTTGACTGAAAGTAATGTTCTTTGCAGTGAAATGTAGAATGAATGCTGAAGAAGGGGCAGGAAGGATATCAGAACACCATGAAAATTATTACAGGAAACAAAAGACAAGATGAGAGAATTCTGAAGGGGATTAAAATGAGTTGCATTGGGTTCTATGAGGATGTATATGGTTATGATTAAGTGAACAAGCTATAGATTCACACTGCATATAGATTCTCAGCTATACTACCTGAGTGCCATTTGCTTTTGAAAAAAATGAGTTATCCTCTCTGTACCCTGGTTTCTCATCTTTTAAATGGAAGATGATAATAGTATATACTTTACCGGTTTGTGAGGAAGATTAAATGTAATATAGCATACAAGATGGTAACACTTGCCTAGTGTTTAATGTACTCCCTAAAACAGAAGCAGGCCCAGTATAGTTAGACTAACTTAATTTACATAGAAAAGAGTAGTAACAAAACAAGCATAAATTGTTTAAAAGGAGAGGACCTCTAAAGGGCATCTGATCAATCCCTCTCATCCTATAGTTGAAAATACAAGGAAGTCTCCCAAAGACTAAGAGATTTGGTCAGGTAGCTAATTAATAGAGACATTGGATGGAGCTCTCATTCTCCTCACCCTTAACGGGGAGCTATTTTAGTTACCCTCTAATTTGTTGGGCTGTAGAATTTTGGAATTTTTCTGGATTAAGTCAAAAGTAGTGATCTCAAAATATTTCTTTCTGAGTTCATAGCTCAGGGTAATCTCGGTGATGTTTAAGGCCCAACAACAACTAACGAAGGTTTATCAATTTGGACAAATCATCCTGCATGCCTTTTCCTACCTTAGTTCCTCTTTCCATAAGACTCTTATTCTCTGTGGGAGAAACATGGCTAGAGTCAGCATCAGGAAGAGCTGGGATAGCAGAAAGAGAGACAAGTAGTCTCATTCATGTTTTTTTCTGCTTTATTCAGGTATAATTGACAAAATTGCAAGGTATTTAGAATGTACAATGTGATGATTTGATATGATTAGGAAATGATCCCCTCCATTGAGTTAGTCAATTAACATATCCATTAACTTACATATTTACCTTTTAGGTTTTTTTTTCCCCCTGAGAACATTTAAGTTCTCTCTTATTGACTTTTTTTTTAAGATTTTATTTATTTATTCATGAGAGACACACACAGAGAGAGGCAGAAGCATAGACAGAGGGAGAAGAAGACTTCTCTCAGGGAGCCTGATGTGGGACTCCATCCTGGGACCAGGATCACGCCCTGAGCCAAAGACAGATGCTCAACTGCTGAGCCACGCAGGTGTCCCTGTTACTGACTGTCAATCATACAATAGAGAGTTATACTATAGTTACCATGCTATATATTACTTAGACTGTATTCATCTTATAACTGAAAGTGTATTGAGTGAGCAGGAAGGAGATGAAAGATTGACTCTAAATACAAACATGACTCTATTTTTTTTAAAGATTTTATTTATTTATTCATGAGAGACACACAGAGAGATAGGCAGAGACATAGGCAGAGGCAGAGGCAGGCTCCCTGCGGGGAGACTGATGTGGGACTTGATCCCATGACCCGGGATCATGACCTGAGCCGAAGGCAGATGCTCAACTGCTGAGCCACCCAGGTGCCCCTCGACTCTGTTTAGAGCCAGATGACTGATCCTGCCTGTGCCGCACCTTCTACTTCTTAGAATCACCAGGGACACTAACACTGGGTAGAGGTAGTCTCTTCATTTCTTCATACTTGAAAGTCTTCTCTCTAGCTTTATCTAACAGATCCAGAGAACCATGTTTATTATTGTTTTATTTAGTGGTATACTCAAGTGAAAAATATGAGATATAGCCACAGTCATAACAAGGCTCCATTATAGTCTTATTTTTTTCTACAATTTCATGGAATTATGATGAGCATATTATTTTGAAAGGAGAGCCTAATGAGATAAAGCAGCACTGTATTGCAGTCCAGCTAAAGCTATGTACATATGCATACTTTATTTATTTATTTTTATTGAGGTAAAACAGCACAGCAAGGTTAAAAACAAATGGCTAAGCTCAATACAGGCTGTACAATGATGCTGAAAACAATTTTACTGGCATAAAGGTCTCCAACATGCTGGTATTAACCTATTGATAAATATTTAGACTATTTATATTTTGCTCTTTTTGACAACTAAGCCAAAATAAATGTATTTTAAGGCCACCTTTGGATGTGTCAGCATGTCTTAGTTTATCTTCTTTGTGGTAAAGGCTATTCACAGTGACAATTAAAATATTGAACACTGAAGGACAAAGATTGGCAAATTCATCTTGAGTACACCTTATTCTCTTAAAATTTTTTCTCTAACATACAAAAAAGTCTTATTTTCCAACAACTTTCAACTTCTAGTTCTGAGGAGTAACATTATTGCTTTTTGGCCCATACATGCTTACTCAAAGCTATGTGTTACAGATTTTCAATGTTTCAGAAAAGCATCTATACAAGTCTTAATACTACAAAATAAGAACTTACAGAATACAAGTTGTCTTGGCTGCAAGCTATTCAACACTGCTGCTCACTTCCATTGTGTCTTTGGAAAGGTAAACTACCCAGTATACAAGGTTAAATCCTGCAAATGCAACTGGGAAGAGAATCCGAGAATACTGGTCTATTTTACTGGTGCCTCCAAAGGCTGGAGAGAGTGGTGGGGGTGTGACAGGTGTTGATTGCAAGATGGGAGCTCCTGTGAGGACTTTGCTGGCCTCAGGGGATGGAACTATTGGCAAAGTCAGAGAGGTGATTCTTTTCTTCAGATGATACTTGGAATCAGGATGCTGTAAGGAAACGACATAAATATTCAGCTTAAATCAAAGACTAGAGATCCCTTAGTCACTTTTTCACCATTGACAGATGTTATTATATTATAATATCACATATTATTATATATTTAAGATAAAATATTAGCAAATGCTTGTTTAAATATTGACAAAATTTTTTTCAAGATTTTATTTATTTGACAGACAGAGAGAGAGAGTGAGAACACAAGCAGGTGGAGCAGCAGGCAGAAGCAGGCTTCCTGCTGAGCAGAGAGCCTGATGGGGAGCTCAATTCCAGGACCCTGAGATTGTGACCTGAGCCAAAGGCAGACGCTTAACCAACTGAGCCACCCAGGCACCCCAATATTAGCAAATTCTTAATAGTATTTGATGGTGCTACTCTTTCAAGAAAGTGGTAAAACAAATTTAAAAAAATTATTTGCTTCCATCCAACATCCTATAATTTAATACATCAGCAATTGATGCCAAGCATATTCCACATTCCAGAAACTGTAATGACCATTAGGCTATTAGGAAAAACTACACTGGTCAATTTCAATGCTTATTTCATCATCCCCACGTTTTCCTGGTGGTGCATAAGCCTATAGAACAATGAGTGTAGGTAACAAAGGCAATTTCAATTTGGAATATATGGACAATTAGTTAATATAAGAAAATCTAGCAGTTCAGTTAGTTGATATCATCCTTTTCGCCTCTATCCTCATCTTCACATGTTCATAAATTTGAACCAGCTGAGAAAACAGCAACAAAAAATATTAAAGTGCTTGTGTTTGTGAAAAGGCAGAGACAAAGTATCAGTACCCATAAACTGAGTGGAATGACTATTCATCCCTTGATATATACTGCCTTTTAAGCTCATAAGTTCTATGTTGAGAGCTTTCTGCTTCCCATTCAGAACTTCTCCACTGGTCCTCCATCTTAAGTCACCAAAAAATGATTTCATTTACTGACTTCAGAATTGTTATACATTCTTTTTTATCATTAGAAATCATAAGACAACCATTTTTAGTCCTGAAAGGAATATTTAGTACATTAATTGTCAACTGAGAAGGCTAAGTCCAGAGGGTGGAGCTGGAAAGGCCTAGCTCATAGTCGCAAAATTAGTAATAAACTACACTGGTCAATTTCAATGTTTATTGCATCATCCACACATTTTCTTGTCTTTAAAGTACTGGGTCTAGTTCAGAGACTCTAATTCTGTTTGCTTTAGACTCCTTTCATACCATTGGAGGCCAGGGGACCTTCCTCTGATTTATATATTTTCTTATCTATATCTTGCAATAGTCACTCTCCTTGTGGCCAGGTTGTCCTTGTTGGTTTCTGCCTTCAAACACTTGCTGTAAATGATCTCTGCTCTTGTAACACTGCCTTGTTTTCTCCCTGGCAGCAAAATCACCACTTTGATGCCTGGCAGGGTATGTTACTCACGTGGGCAGACTCCCGTGGTTTTAGCCAGCAACCCTACAGCAACAGGATGAGGCAGTCGCCTCCCCTGTGCGGGTTGAGCCACAGGACCAGAATGACCTGCCGATGTGGTGACATTTGGAGTGCAAGAAATAATGAATCCAAGAACCTCTTCTCTCTATAGTCCTCTTCTGAATTTTGCCGTGTGATTTGTCATAGAATTTACTGAGTACCTAAATAATAATAGTCATCATTGAGAGTTAAAGCCCGGTGTGCTTTTAGAGGCCATGGGAAAATCTCTTCACCAAAAGCAAAAATGAATCTCTGTAGTCATGTCAGATTTCTCATGACCATGGTGAATTTCAAGGAAAGAATATCTTTATTTATTATGTATTCACCCAGTATTGTGCTAAGGACTTTTTACAGAATAAAATAAATCATAGGTTTTGATGTTAGAATATAACTTAAATAGTAGAGGGCTCTGTCTGCATATCTTAGACAGGAAATAAATAACACCTTCTATTAAAATCATGTGACAGCTGAGGACTACTGTGCCCATGGTCACCAGCCAGTATGTGGATAGGACCAGAACAGTGGTATTTTGGTCTCAGTGCAAATAGAGAATAAACATAGCACCTTCTTTTCAGAGTTTCTATCATATATCTCAGACTCTAATTTGAATTTTTAGCCCTTAACTATGTTATTGAAATATTCCCCCACTGAAAGAGCAAAATGTGTTACTATTTCATTTTCCAGAAAGTGTTATCCTCCTCCCAGATACATGGAACACTGAAATACTTTAGTAAAATTTCTAAGGATCATGATGGAGGAAAATGAGAGCAAGCCTTTAGAGCAGATTCTCTTTCTAAACTCATCTTGATTTTTAATAGCACACATTGCCTGTGTTTATTTCCTTTATTAAGAAGAAAGAGGGAAGACATGAAAAAGGTCGTTGAGGCAAAAAATGATTATAAAACATATTTTACCATGAAAATGTAAAGCATTGTTTTATCTCCCCCTCTTTAAAGCTATGGGAGAAAATAGTTATTTGTCAATCTTTTGGCATTGTCACAATGTCACACATAAAGTAAGAATTACCAAATGACATTCAAAACACATGAAAAATTTAATGGCATTAGCCTGGAATCAAAGATCCCCTACAACAGGATTCCCCATTTCCTCATCTACTTCCCCAAACAATCTTTATGGAGGGTTGTTTAAGAGTTAGGAGGACAATAAAGTGAAAAAGCCTTAGATTGCAATTCCATATATACTAATTTTCTGCTATATGAAGTTCCCTTCTTTAAAGCTAGGGACAATTATTACTTTCTCTGTAAGTTTTCCTTTTCCCTAAAAATTTGAGAAAGCAAATGTGATGTATATATTTACAGATAAGATAGATGGATAGATATTAGATATACTAAATGTATATCATAGACATATTAGAGAATACTTTTCTGCCTACTTAGCTGTTATAATTTACTTAGCTGTTATCATACTCTTCCTTGTAAACATGATTTCAGTTGTGCCTTATATCCTTTCCTGACATAAAATCTCCTTGTTGGTAGAGGGCATATTATTTCCAAATATAAGTGCTTCACGGTACCTCACCAGTGCACAGAGCGTAATCTATGCTTGATAAGCATATGCTGAATCAGCAAACGAATGAAAATCTAAACATTTCCAGGATTTCTTAGAGTGATCAGGCAGGGAAAAGAAACAAAAAGTTTTATGATTATTTTACATTATATTTTAGTGTATCATTTCATATTACAAGTACCAAATCTAAATGCTTATAATTGACAAGTACTACACAGCCCTTAGCATGCATTATTTTGCCTATTCCTGGAAAAAAACTATAATGTAATTATTATTTTCATTTTAGAGATGAGAAAATGAAGGCTGAAGTGGGAAACTCACACAAGGTAATCACTGCCTGAATTGATTAATCACTCTCAGATGCTTAAGATCACACTCTTAATAATTTTTATGATTTCTTCCCATCAGCTCTAAGGTTCAGGGCATGGTTTCTCAAACACAAAACCATTGATACTCTGGGTAGGATACTTCTATGTTGTGAAAGATTATCCTGCACATCATGGGATGTTGAGAAGTATCACTGGATTCTTCTACCCACAAGATGTCTGTAGCATCTCCCTCCTCAACATTATGACAACCAGATATATCTCCAGGCATTGCCAAATATCCTCTAGGGAAAAAAGTCACCTGTTACTGAGTATCACTGGCTTGTTGGAGTTACAGCTATCTCACTGTCCAGCAGTGCTTGGGGGTATTTCTAGCAGGCAGGAAATATGATATGCTCAAGGAAATGCAAGAGGCCTGGCTAACCCACATGCTGGATAATCAGCTCCTGCATAATTGGGAATTGGCAGTACAGGAAACTGGACTCCAATTTAGAAGAATCACATTGAATTTCTGAAAAGAAAGCCAATTTTACAAGCCATTCAAGATACAGGTTTGCTTCAGACCCCGCCTGTTCTATTGTAAGCCCAGCAACTTCAGCTGATGGTAAAATAGGTTTTTGTCAGAGTCCAGATGAGGGCTCAGCTTGGGGCTGTCACTGTTTTGAGTGGAACACCTGTGGTTTTGAATTTTTCCAGGGCTTCCCTGCTGCTGAATGCCATCCTGCTTTGGGTATTTATAGAGCACTGCTTTGTTTTAAGTAATGCCATATTGCAAAGGTACTTTGAGTCAAACAGGACTTTATGACAATTAATTATTTGATGTAAAGATAAGACATTTGGGAAGTACTTAAAGCAATTTTGATACAGCATTCAGTGAATCTAATATGTTAAAGAGGGAGGGGCAATGGGTTATCTCTCAAGAGAGATATTCTAGCCATGGCTGCATTATCCAAGGGACAAACAAAACACCTGCTTTTTGAACCAGCAGACGGGAGCATCAAATATAAGAGAAATATGAAAACATTTAGTACTTAATTTTTTTAGAAAACTATTATGTGAATTATTATGGAGAAAATAAGAATTTCAAATCAAATTTTCTTGCATCTAAGTAATAGCTGGTAGAATTGGGACAGAGATGATTCCAGAATTTCGACAAAGAAGCAGCTTATTGGCAGCAATCTGGTGGGTCAGTGGTGTAAGGTACATGTCTGGAAATCATACTGGAATGTTTGGAGGGTAAAGAAGGGAATATTGGATGGGGATTTGATAGAAGGTATAGAGAAAGAACTAACTACCTACACCCCTCATCTAATCCACCCTGACCTCTCTAGAACTTATGCAATAGCACAACCATGATGAAGGGACCCAGAGTCTCTGATGGGTTTAGTTTAACCCTTAGTTCTACAGAGTAATGATAATATTCAAAGAAATCCAGGAAATATTTGGAACATGGAAAGTAAATCCTTTAGTATTCTGTGCTTCATATCTCTCTACATAGGTGGAAGGCAATATGATAATGACCCAGCAGATCATCCCAATCTTGAAAGGGATTAAAGAAAGAATATAATATGTCTTATTTCCCCTCTCTATTCCCAAGTTGCTAGCAACTGGCTTGGTGTTTCTAGAACAGGGCCAGGCTCATCCTTCTGTTCTCAGCTGAGGCAACACTTCCTCCAGAATGATAATCCCTCCAGACTGTGTTAGGTACTCTTGCATGGCCCTTCTTTAGCCACTATACATCTCTAACCAGAGTCTTTATCACAGTGAATTGTCATGGTTCATTGGTTTGTCTTTCTTCCTGTTCAGCAAAAAGCTTGTGAGGGAAGAAGCGATACTGATGTCACTCACTAACATATCCCCAGCATTCTACAAAGGATATGGAACATTTAACAAGCACTTATGGTATGAGTAATTCAGTGAATACATAGGTACTCGATAAATGGGTGCCAGATGAAAAAAAAAAGAACAAATAATGTAATCAGCATAAATATAATTTTTGTCTTGACTAATGAAATTTTGGCCAATTTTGTTTGTAGATAATTTGCCAAGAACATCATACCTCCTATGAAAAAGAAAAGCCACATTGAATGTATCAATAGGTGGGGAAATTCATTCTTAGGGACATAGTAATGAGGGCTTAGACCTTTAAAATAACAAGGAAACTATTAGGCAGCCCCGGTGGTGCAGCGGTTTAGGACCGCCTGCGGCCCGGGGGTATGATCCTGGAGACCCAGGATTGAGTCCCACATCGGGTTCCCTGCATGGAGCCTGCTTCTCCCTCTGCCTGTGTCTCTGCCTCTCTGTGTGTGTGTCTATGAATAAATAAATAAAAATCTTAAAAAAAAGATGTTGAGAAATTTAAAAATAAAATAACAAGGAAACTATCAAACATCCAAAAAGTGATGTAGGTCCAAACTTGATCTAACATGCAGAATAAGCATACCCTAGACACACAATAATTTGTGAAACATGAGGATAAGAGTAACTCTCTAATATCAATACAGCATACCAGATAAAAAGCAATAAGGAAAGGTACCATATAAGCAGGAAAGAAGCTGTGTGGATAATTTCTTCTCAAAATCTAAAAACAAACCAACAAAAAACAAAAACAAAAAAACAACCCAAAACCCAAACCCTAGTATCTAGGTCTAAATGCCTTAAAACCAGAAAATCATTAGTCTACCAAGCATTTCTGAGGATTTAGTTTTAGATGTCTCTTTGGGTTTGAGTGCTAGATTTAAAACTCCTGAACTTCTTTGCCATTATTATATCAAATTTCAAGGTCAAAATCAAAGTGATAAACTCTTTCCCATGATCATTCTAAATAGTTTCTTGTGAAAAGCAATGAGGACATTAAAATATAACTTAGAATCACATAAAACATCTAAGCACTTAATTTTATTTCAACCTAACCACATTGGTTTGCTTTTTCAATGTCCAACTTACCCAAATGACGTTATTTTGATTACAACTGAATAGGCGTTTTTAAATGTCATGGTATTTGAAAGAAAGAAATGGCCTAGCAATCATAATATACCATTGTGTTGTATAAATTGCAAATGTGTAATTTATGTTTGTTCCTCTACATTATATAAGGCAAATTGCCAAGGTTTGACATGAATAAATAAAATGTAAATGTTCCATGTAATCATCTATATTTATTTTTGATACCTACAAGGCTTGTATTGTTAGGTTTGCTTATTTTGGTTTTTATTTTTATTTTTATGCTTTGACCTAGCCTTTCAGAAACAAAATCCTACTTTTCATTGCCTTAAAATGTTTTAAGTGAAGCCAGGTTTAGAAATAAAACTTTTCATAAGAAAAAGTCAGCTCACAAGAAAAAAGTACTTAGAGATGATTTAAATGCATATTTTTATTCAGCTTCCCAAAGGACCTGCTCATTATATGTTACTATTTTAGAATTGTAGAAGATAGCTTATATGAAGACCTGAGATCTTAAATTCCATCTTATTAATAAATTATACCTTTAAAATAATAGACAAAGGAAATGCTAACTCTATGCTTTCTCTAAGGATTTGAAATCAGATTCCTTTCAGTAATACATATTTCAAAAGAACTGAAGTTGAAGTAAGGAAGTTGGTCTTTCCTTTTAATCTCAACATCAGATCAATGAACATATTCAAAATCATTTGAGTTATTTTTTATCTTATTTTTCATGAATTTCTCTTTTCATTTTTACTGCATTTCTGAAACTGTTAAACTGAATTCTAATAAATATGAATTATTCTTTATTTATAGATACATGGTAAGATAATATGTGACCATTGGGCAATATGTTGATCATGTACCTATTAAATACGGATAGCTTATAGCATAATCACTTGTTACTATAAACATAAACTAATTCTTAAAATATTTAAAAAATTATTTTCAAGTGTTTTAGACTGAGTCTTAAGGCTAGCATACTTTTACTATAAAATGTATATTTTTGTGGCCTTTCAAAACATATATATAAAAACAATAGATCAAAAAAAAAAGAGGTCAAGGGAAGAATTTTAGGAACGACCTCATATTCTGAAAATGTTTTATCTTGTAGTGTGCACTCTTTTATACATCAGCCTTTGTGGAATTGTTGGAGATGGGATAACTCTGCCTCTGTAAATCTGTGTATATCATGACATCTGGAATTGAACCCTAGTTTTTCTAGCAACTAGTAACTAACATTTTACCTCTCTATTTTTGATTCGTAAGCAGAGGTAATTGGTCTGGATCACTGGATAGCAAACTTGGTTTCTTTTGTTGTTGTTTTTTAATGAGAACTAATTTAAGAAAAAAAAAGACTTTATATATTTGCACTATTGGAACAGCCTTATCTTATTCCTTGGAGAAAATATAGATACTCAAACAAGTTTCTTAGTATATCAAAAGAGAAGTTTCAACAAGAAGCTATCATCTTTTTAACCAATAAATGCCTGAGTATTTGAGAGTAAAACACACATAGCTTTGCAATTTTTATCATTAAAGTTAAACTAGGATTAGCTGAACTTCATGTGGTTCTGTGATTTGGAAAAGGTCACAAGAATTGATTATAAAGACATTTTTAATTCAAAGTGTCGGGAGTACTCAATTTTACAGAGCAAGATTTTCTTCTTTTCAAGAACTACTATTTGGAATTTGCATTGACATAAAAATGTATATTTGTCAATGATTCCTATAATCCATTAAAAAATGTCTGCAGCTGAACTATGAAAATTTACTGTTGTGAAAATTTACTCATATGTGAAATTGAAATTTGGGGGCATATTTATGACCCTTGAGTTATTAAAGCCATCATTTGTTTCTTTTTCAAAAAATCTTTTGAAAACTAGAGCTTAGCCACAGCAAATCTAAACTGAATTTTATAGGTATTCATCACTTATTATAAGTCTTTGAATAAAAACACTTTAGGATACATGTGCTTAATATACAAATGTGAACATGAGAATGTTTTCATTTCAATCAAAAACCTGGCTTATGACTCAGCATTCATAGAACCTAATATTTACATCTTGCCTTGAAATAAAGCAGCAAGCAGATTTCTAACAAAAATTGTCCATTCTATAGGAGTCCCTGTTTATTTCCCTCAGACTCTGAAGCCTCATTAGGAACTTTTTTTTTCACCTTATTCTCCCTAGTTGGTATAAGTAAACCTGCTCAAAGGAAATATCTAAATGCTGAGAAGAATTTTCTCATCTCTTCTGAGAGCTTGGAATCCACTAGTACCAGTGAGGATGATAAAAGAAGAATGCAAGAAGTTAAGAGCAAAGATAAATGAAAGATTGTTGCTTTTTTTTCCCCTACAAAATTGGAACAAAAGTTGGCCTTGTAACCAGAATTATGTAATTTATGTTCACATAATAGTATTTTTTGGACTATTTACTTGTTTGTGATCACTGTTAGGCTGTCTTTTCCTATAGTGATGAGAAACATTAGAAAAGTAAACAATTACCAATACAATCTCAGCTTCCAAGGGTTCAGTTGCTTTTGATATTGTAACTGGGGGTGAGGCTGCATTCTGTGCCCTCCTTTTGGCCTTCTGTGTCTGAAGATTGGTAAAATAGTTGACAGCCGCAAACTCAATAAGAGCGGAGAAGACGAAAGCAAAGCAAACAGCTATAAACCAATCCATGGCAGTTGCATATGACACTTTTGGCAAGGAGTGCCGGGCACTGATGCTTAATGTGGTCATGGTTAAAACAGTGGTGATCCCTACAATGAAAAAGAATGAGAAATGCAGCATTAGCATTTGGAATCCAATAACAACAAATGAGGATGTGTCAGTGGATTAAACACTCTGCAAATATAATTTTTGTTATTGTTTTATAATTGTTCACAATTCTTATCATAGGTGTTATCGTTTTGTATCCTTCAATATTTAGTGCGGTGATGTGTACACCATAGTTGTTCAAGAAATATTTTCTGATTTGATTTAGCCTAACTATTGTAAAGTTTAACTCACAAATAATTCTAATCGTTTACTTATTAAGAAAACTTACAGCAAATTATTATCACATCAGTACTAAAACCTTGAATTCTTGGTCAATTTGAATAGCTGATAATACCTATCATATTTAAGAAGTCTATCTGGTATGAATAGTAAACATAATATTAGGTTCTTCAATTTAAAAAAAAATCTAGCTTGATTTTAAGGTAAAATATTTACTCATGAGAAAATAATTTCATCAGTCACTAGCAGTTTAATGTCTTATATAATAGGTGGAGAATATATGTAATTTGAAGATGGCCAACATCATTATATAGGTATTCTTTTATAATTTGCAGGATGAGATCTATTTTAATATAGTAAATTAAAAAGTCAAAATTCCTCTACGATTTCAATTTGACTCAGGTCTTCCCTGTGAACCTCTCTAATTGTATAATCATTAAAACCCCCCAAAATTGGATTTTGCTATTGATGATATTTTCTGTTACAGCTCTTTTTCTAATGTCATTTTTTCCATCAAAACTAATAGCAATTCTACATATCATAAATGCAACTCAATATTTAGTTTGAAACATGGGAAATTGGTCATATGTAACTATTTTTAGACCTAGAAAAATGGCACTTTCTTATAGTTCAACCTAATAAAAGCAAGACATAATTTATATTTGGGGTTCAATATCTTAGCCTTTCTTTTTATGGATTTATATGTTGGTTTTTACTTTTCTGCTTTTCCTTAGTTATGAAAAAGCAAATTGAGATTTTAAAAAAGAAAAAAAATACTCGTAAATAGTCACAGGAATCCATCCAGAATTCTTGCCAAGACAATTTTTTTGTGTATGTACCACATAGCTTGGGATAATATAAGAGCCATTTTATATCATACTCATGATAGGAGTCTATTTTCTTTGTGAATTAAAAAAGTGCACTAGTGTGAAGATTCCCCTAAAATATGCAAGCAGTAAGAGCTATAGGATGAATGGAAATATAGACAGAGTGAAGCATACCAAAGACAGTTCTTGCAGGGACAGACTCCTTATTAATCCAGAAGGACACCTGGGAAAGAATGACTGTCATAATGCAAGGAGTGTATATCTGTATCATGAAGTAGCCCATCTTCCTTTGCAAGTGGAAATAAACTGTCATTATTACGTATTCACCTGTTGGAAAACACGTATATCAATATTATTGCTGTTGACAGTGTGCAAAAAGAAAGTAACTGGAAATAAATTGTGCAGATCTTTAAATTAACATGGGCTGGAAGAAAACAAGTAAAGGCATATTTCACTGTATGACAAAGATACTTGATCAAGCAGAGGATAGATACATCAGGTCTTTGTTTCCAGTTGGTTTCTTTGTGTTATATACATACAAAACTACTTATTTCAAGGTTACACAGATCTTTATTTTTATTTTTTACACAAATCTTTATATGCACATAGTTGCAAAATCAAGTTTAAAGAAAACTACTCATCACTTCAAAACAACAAGCATAGCTGAGGATGGTTAATGCAGAGAAGAAAGAACTAGATATTTTGAAAATGTGCACTGGAGTCACCTTGCTGGATTATATTCTGGAACTTGTCTAATTCTTACCTGTGTTAGATTTAATTGTTTCACTAGATACTGTTTGTCCAATCAGATCATACTGGAGGAGACTTGAAGATTCTTCTGGGACTTCGACTGAGTAAAGTGGTCCTTTCTTCCATGTATATATGATTTCACTTTTGGGGTAAGCATCTGAATTTTTTAAACAAATGAAATATAGCAGTGAATTTGACTAGTTGTGGTTTTTTTTCAAAGCATATTTCGTCCATATAAAAAAGGTAAGACCATAAACTTTCTTTAATTTTTTTTTTTATCTGAGTGATTTACACCTCTGACTATTTACAAGATTGACAGACAGGATTAAATACATATATTCCTGGAATCATATTGAGACTACCATGTAATATTTCTCTTTTGTTTTCTGATCTCTGACTACAATCAAATAATTATATATATTTGATTATAGTCAGAATATATATAAATATATATATTTGATGGTAGTCAGAATATATATATATATATATTCTACCCTTATTTATTTATTTACATTTATTTATTCCCTTCAGAGAAATAGAGCGTGGGGGGGGGGAAGAGCAGAGGGAAACAAGCAGACAACCTGCCCTACTAATGTGGGGCTCTGTCCCAGGACCCTGAGATCATGACCTGAGCTGAAAACCAGAGTTGAACATTTAACAAATTAAGCCACCCAGGTGTCCCAATAATTAGACATTTTGAATGCATTATTTGACTCTCAGAGGCTTTTTGTAACTTACAACTCCCAAACTTGAGTGGACAAGCATGCCCATCCATAGGAAAGTTAACCAGCCTCATAGGACAGTCAGCATTGATGGTAAGCCTAGGGACATTGAAATAAATGGTTCTGAGTTAGTATACTGGACAAATCATTTGGGTTAGAGGAAGTTGAATTGGGGAAGTCTCACCTCATGGTATATAAAATGGTTCCATTCTGCATTATCCTGAAGAGTTTATTAGGGGTTGTCATATTGTGTGCAATTGATTTTTTGCCATTCCTGAAAAAAGTGTCAGGTGTCCAGATTTTACTGACCATCAGGTTATTCAAACTCAAAATCTCAGTTGGTCCCCCAAACTTTAACCTCTCATCAGTCCAAGTCTGGCGGAAGAAAACGTCCATTGTATACTCCTAAGAGAAAATAAAATATTCATGCAAGCTGGGGAGATAATTTATTAAGAATAATTCATTCACCAGCTTATATATCCAATCCTAAAACTTAAGAAATAAAGCAATTTTTCATGATAATAACCTATCAGAGAAACTATGATTTCAGTAAACTATTTTTCTCAAACTTATAATTTGCAATATTATTGTAAAAGATAGTGCTGTGTTGTACAAACCTTCCTCCTCTACCTTGGCTCTCTTCAACAATCTTCCTCTTTCCTATGAGTCATCCACCTTTCTATCTATTGACCTATTATTAGGGAAATTACCCCTCCATTAATTTAGAAGAAAAATATGAAAAGATTTACAGTCCTGGTTTTGTACTGGCCTTCCTGCCATCACTTAAGTCTAACCATTCCCCTCAATGCCTTGTTCACTTTCAAAGGTGTTGCTGAACACCATGGTACTATTTAGTAAACTTTTAAGGATAGATAAACTTCACTTGATAAGTATACTCTAGCTGCACATCACAATTATTTTATATTGTTTTCAGAGAATATAAAAGCAAATGTTACCATGATTACCCAGAGCATCATAATTACAATTTTGAGCTTTAATTTGTGGCTTTTATTAAATAACATTAGAAATCTTAAGAATTATGGTAAGAGCCATTGCAAAAGACAATGATAAATAATACCTTATAAGTATATCAAAATATTGCTAACAATTGCTTTGCCTACTTTATATGTTCCTGTATGAGACCTATTACTACAAGTTGTGTGATTAGATTTTCAGAATATAATTTGATACACAGTGTATCCATATAATAAAGAGCCAGGCTATCACAAGTCTCCACTGTACAAATATTCTTTAAAAATGACACACATGCATAAAATGAAGTGCCAAGTGTTCCCCAGACTTCCATAATATAGTATAGTATAGAGCTCTGGTTATTTATACTTGAGGTGAGTCAGTACTCAGTGAAAAATATGATAGTAAAACAATTGAAGATTCTGGATACTGCTGACTCTCCTTTCTTTCAAGTCTTAATACATTTATCTCCTAAAGTCCTCCTTCCTCTTCTTCACTTCCTTGTTTTGTTTTTTTTTCCTTACTTTTCCCCTAACTTTTCCTTTCCCTTCCTCTGATATGCCTTCGTTTTTTTTTCCTCCCTTCTTGCTTCTTTCTTTTCTTGTCATCTTAAAAAGCAGAATATAAAAAAGTCTTCAATAACCATTTATCCAGAGCTACACTTCTCTAATAAACTTTAATGATTGAACTATTTAAAGTTATGTTTATTTCAATTTTAGCTTTTATATTTTACTTTTAGGGAGGAAATGGTACCTGAGAACTGTGAAAAAATACCGTGATACACTTCGTTCTAGAAGACTAGTTCAGATTTTCATTGCCACTTACTATAAATACTCTCTTACGAATCCTACAGCCATCTGTACCTGGAACAGAGTTCCCAGAACACCTACTGGTCCATTTGCAACACAAAAGGTACAATGCACTAGCTTTTTCAAGTGATACCCTTCCTTATTTAATAAAATATACTAAAAATAATGTGTTACAGAAAATAGCTATATTTTAAGTTTCACAGATACCCTCAATATACTCTTACATGATGTATCATCTTTGTTGGTTTTCCTTTCTTCTATTCTAAAAATTTACCAGGACTTCATTAAGATAGAGAAAATCTTATCTTTGTAGAAAAGAATTGATGCATGATAGGTGGTCAGAAGAGAACATATAATCTTAGAAAGTGCCTCAGGTCAAAGTGTTCAAGCAGAGCCCTTAGTGAAATGTGAAGGGGGTTAAGCCAGTAACCTACATTAATGACCATGCCCTCCCAGCATGGGCACACATATTGCATTAGGATGCTGGAGCCAAGCTTGGTAACAATGTCCAAGATTGTTAGTTCTAGGACTCTATTCTCAAGCCAATCAGTAAAATTACCCTTCTCACTCAGGGCTCGCTTACCATCTCCACGTCTGACACAGGCCCAAAACTGGTCACATAAATGTCTGTTTTGACTTCAGTAACAGAACCTGAAATTAGCCCAGAAGAATAAGAATAATTATCATCACTGGTTTTAAGGGGACTGAACGTAATGACCCTCCCACGAAGTCCTTTGTCATGGTCAGAATCTGCAATCCACCCTTAAGTAATCCAGTAGCAAGAGCCCTTGGGTTTTTCAACTCTGAAAACTCATACCAGTCGCATTACTGTAAAAATTTTCTGGTCAATTTGGAAAATTGAAGGAATGAAGGGAAAGTAAGTGTTCTTATAAAAATTATAACAATAACTAGCACATCTTGATAGCTTTAATAGGACGAACACTTAGAAAAGTGCTTTACATGGAGAATCTCATTCTATGCTCACACAAATCTATGAGGCAAGTACTGTTCATATACCCACACTACAGCTGAGGAAGCTGAAGCTTAGAGGGTTCAAATAACATGCATAAAAGGTCACAGGCAGAAGGAGGGACAGAGACTGGATGGGAACACATGGCATTTCCCAGTACCCCTGCACCCTACCACTCTGCTATCCTTATGAAGCCTCTGGGTCTTGGAACAGCAGGAAGGGGGAAGGAGAGTACAGATGTTTGGTCTAGTAAGGATGCTTCCTCTCACCTCCAAATCCTGGCCGCAGCCGATTGTCATAGCCTTCAAGCAAGTTGTCCAGGATCCGACTGATGTTTTTGGAGTAGAAGTTTCCCTCATCTTCAAGTTTCCCTAGGGTATTTTCTACCCTGTGAGGAGATAATCAATGAACCCCACTCCCAGCCTCAAAGAGAATGGTCTATTCAATCTTCCCTCATCTACCCCACCACAAATACATGCCACACCATCCAGGCTTATTCTATGATTTGGTCTAGAAGTTACCCAGTGAGTGTGTGCTTTCACTTTCCTCTGCACTAAAAGGAAAAATCAGAAAAAATCTTACTCACCACAGAATAATATATAGCAAGGGCAGAGGCGACGCCATCCTGCAGTGCACTGCAACGTCCAGTTCACCCTCCTCCTAGGTTCTCCTCCCTCTTAACAAGCTCCCCTTTGCCAATCAACTAGAGTAATCGTCCAGACCCCTCATATCTCTTTTCCCTGTTTGCATCCAGCCAGTAATCTGTAGCTGAAGAGGTTGCCAGCAAAACTTTGAAGGTTCCCTTTACTCTCTTGTTCTTGCTTCTGTCTTCTCATGTGGAACAAGGTGGCTTGTGGTCTTAGACTACATCCTGATGGACACTCAGCCTCCTCTGGTAGACTCAATTGGGAAACGAGAGTCTGAAGAGACAGTGTATGGTCAGAGAGCAGTGACAATAATCGAATAAGGCACTAGGGGAGATTAGAAGGAAGATATCCACAGCTAGTTTTGGCATGGAATTAGCAGGGCCCTGTGAGAAAATCTGGAAAGCAGTGGCATCTTGCTGATTGAGATTATGTTCCAAAGGCTCAGCATTTATTATTTCTCTGGTTCACAGAAGGATTCCTACACAGCTCTTATTGCTCAAAAAGTCTAAAGTCTAACAATATTGAGATCTTTTTGGATTCTTTTTCTGATTTCTTTTTTTCCCCTCTTTCTAATTTCATTAGGATTATTGCATCAGACATACCTTTCCTCTGCACTTAAAAATTGTCCCTTATTATTCTTTGAAAAGCATTTACATACACTAAAACAACTGGCTGTCTTGCTATTGAATTGATGTCTTTTTGTTTGTTTGTTTAAGTACATCGCTGATCCTTTCTAAGATATTACATCTCAAGCTAAGAGGTAAATGGGTCCTACCACTATCTTTAGAAACTTGGCCAGTTTCATGGATGCTGCCTCTAAGAGACAATGTCCAGAAATAGCTGATTAAGGTTCCCCAAGTAGAAATACTGTAAGAATCGAGCATCCAAGGACATGGTTCATGATGCTGTTGCTGAACTAGTTCACAAGGCTTGCCACAGGTCAAAAGCAAAATAATTGAACCCAAGAAATAGCATTCTCTGCCTAGTTTGGTAGATGGAAGTTGGAATAAAGGAAGTCATTTTAAGTTTTAAAATTTTGATCTTTAAATAAATAATTTAAAATAGCAATAAGGAAAAGCATTGTGAATATCTCTCTCTATAGATAAATATGCTATCTATCTATTTTTTAAGATTTTATTTATTTATTCATGAGAGACAGAGAGAGAAAGGCAGAGACACAGGCAGAGAGAGAAGCAGGCTCCCTGCAGGGCACCTGATGTGGGGACTCAATCCCCAGGACTTCGGGATCACATCCTGAGCCGAGGGCCGATGATCAACCACTGAGCCACCAGGGCCTCCCTCTATTTATCTATAAATTCAGGAACGTAAGAAAGAAGCAAGTGTCTCACATGACCATCCCTCTGCCATATCTACACAATATTCACCCAGTTCACAGTCTGTATCTTCAGAATCTAAATTCTACAAAGGTAATGGTTACTACTGCAGACATATAACACAGTCTTAAGAGTCATTTCTGAGAACATGACATCAATTATTTGAGGAACATTTCAATAAGTTGGCTATGACTTAAAAAAACAATAGAAAAAGGGAAAACTGCAAGATTTCTGTGAAGTAGTTTTTTTAAGATTACAGAATCTCACTGTTACATGGAATTTTCTGGTTATTCATCAAAACCCCCAGTTCCTTCCAATATTCCTGGTAAGTGGTATTCAGCATCTGTTTTCTTACATTGTTTTACTTGCGTGAATCCAAAACCTGCACCCTTGTCCTAGCTCTCACCTTTGAAACCATACACAATAATTTGTTGGGAAAAAAAACACATGGTAGCTATTTAAACAAATATATATCTAAATATATCTATTTATCTATCATGTCCTCTCAAATTTAAGCTAAACATTCCTAGAATCTTCCCTTGTTCATTACAGGACCTGGTTTCCATATCTCTTTTTATTCTTTTCACTCTAAACTTACTCTAACTGATGACTGCAACACATTTGAACTTCCAATGATTGTACAGTTACAGTCGAAACCCTATCGGTATATATGATGCTATGAAATAATTCTCTGTTCATGTTTACTACAACTTACTATTTTTATTCAAGCATAGGATTTGTATTGATCCCTGTAAACTTGCATAATTTTTTCTATCAATATGTTTATCATCCATCTCTGATTTCTATCATCAGAGAGAAAACTTAGATGTTTAAGACTGGATTTTTTTCATATAGTAAAAAAAAATTATAGGTGAGATTGTACATGTATATACCTACAACCTACAGAATGGGAATGATTTTCTCATTAAAATTACTTATTTAAAAGAAACAAATAGTAATTAAGTCACCTTTGTCTCTAAAGAGACTACTGCTTGTACCATCACCAAGGTTTCTGTGTATAAAATAATTTATACAGACTCAAAGATGATTAGAGGAAATTATTTTACAGAAAAAGCAAACTTGGCACCAAACACCAAGTACTACTTTCCATGATATAAAAAGCTATTAATGTTTTCATGTATAGAAAGGGCTAGAACCAAAAGATTCTGGTATTCATGTTAAGTGCTGTCCACCTTGTAGGAGCATGAAACATTTTCCCCTATCTCTTAGAAACTATTATGGAGAACAAGTCAGTCTAAAAATAATAAATGCAATTTAAGGTTATATCAGTGAAAATTAACATAATGCTAATAGTAACTAACAGATATTTAACATTTACCATGGGCCTAGAGCTGTGTTATGAACTCCATATATTCCAACTCATTCATTGCTAACACAAAAATCTGTGAAGTATCTATAATTGAGTCCATTTTGTAAATCAGCAAGAAGGTAACTTGCCTAATCTCACGGCTAAAAAAAGGGCAGAATCAGAATTCAAAGCTAAGTATAAGCTAAGGCCATTGGAAAAAACACAGTGAAAAATAATTTTCCAATTTACTAAAGAAATAATTTCCAACTGTGGTATTTATTCAAAGATGGAACAAGTACCATAAAGGTAAATGAGTTACCTGTTAATAAAGTATAGCATGGAAAACCATGGGTAGGTTTCATGCATGTATGTTTCAGGAGGAAATTACATAACCCCTAAGAATATTCAGTAGGAGATGGAGGTTATTTGGGGTCATCATGAGGAAGAGCTGTTTGGTAGAGATCTCAAGTGAATATTTGGATTCATAGATTCTGCTATGGAGTTTCTCTGGAGTGTGGTGAGAAAGGGGATTTAAAGAGGTTCTTTGTGGTAAAATGTATCTTGGAGGTACACTGGAAGAGAAGAATGGAGAGGTACTACTAGGTTGTACTAAAGGAAGAAGAAAAAGTGGTAGAATATGAAATAATAGTTAATATTTATTGAACACTTACTATGTCAATCATGTACATTGATATTATCTCTAATTTGTAGAACTGGCTTGCAAGCTAGCAATTTTCATCTTATTTTACAAAAGGATAAAGTGAGGCTCAGAAAATGTATGTAAATACCCTAATGTCCCAGAGCTAGTTATTATCTCTGATTCCAAAGTTTACACTTTTATATTTTATGCTTACATATGATATCTCTGACTCTGTTTTCTAAAGTTGGGCCTCTTAAGCTCTCTGGGCCAACAATATTTTTTATATTGTTAAGGGATACCTGACCTCTCTGTGGACACTGTAGAAAATTCCCATGCAATACTGTTTGGGAATCCAGTGCAATAAGAATAAAATTGCTCTGGGAGACAAAGGACAATAAAGGGAGAATCCTCTGGTCACCAGTTTTAAATTGTTCTGGCTTGGTTACCAATAGAATGTTCAACACATTATAGGGCATGGAAATACAGTCAGGCAAAATCAATTTCAAATTTTAAAATACAAATATGGAGGGACCAAAAGTCACGTCCAAACGATTACAGGTCTATGAATTCATGACTTATGCCTGTTCAACCAGTATCATTTCAATTTAATGTTTATTCATTAAGTGCCTGATGACAAGCCCTTGATGCTGAGGATATAAACATTTTACAAAATAATGCTCACTCTAGAATGTTCATATTCTAGATGTTAATATCAACATAATAGAACTGATAAGATACTGGGTGCTAAAGGTATATAGTTAATTATTAACCATGTGCTATGGGAACAGAGTAAAAAGGCAACTGTGGTGGAAGGGGTGCCAGTGATTATTTCATGAAAGGCACAGCATTTGAAATGAGCTTCAGAAGTTGAATAAACTTTTGGTAGATTAGGAAAGGCCATTTCAAGCTGTATGATGAACTCAGACATGTGGCAATTCATGATATGTTTATAAATAGCAAATAACTCTGAGAAACTAGAAAATAGGAGACTAAGAATATAATGAATAAAAAGACTGGAAGATAGACCTAGTTCAATATAGAGAGATTTCATGGTCCTCAGTGGAGGATTTGAGAAAAGCCATGGCCATGTGTTAGTAGGCTATGATGGAGTTGTTTAAGGAATTCATAATAGCTCTTTTTCTTTGAGAATTGGCCTTTCATAGGGGTAGGTACTTAATTTGTCATGCTTGTACTGCTTGATTCTGTATCAAGTCTCTGTTGATTATACCACTTTGGTATCAGGTAACGGGTTTATTAGCATGCAAATAACTTAGGCAAATTATTTATTATCTCTAGGTATCATCTTCAACACGTACAAAATGAAATTACAGGGTCTTGGTGAGGATTAAATTAAAAATACATTAAGGCCTTTATTACAGGAAATTGCTCATAGTAAACAAGAAAAAAAAAATACCCATCAACAAACATCACTTCCAACATCATCACCCATAATCATCATTGTTGTTATCATTCTTGGTCAAACCAATTTTTTTCTCCAGCATTTAGAAATGAAGCAAAAAAATGTGTGTGTGTGTGTGTGTGTGTGTGTGTGTGTGTGTGTGTGTGTATTTACTAAGGCTGCCAGTGTTAGAGGAAAGCATGTTTGGTCAAATTCATGCTACGTCAGAGAAATATCTATGGATACAGAGGAACCAGAAATGGAGCAGTTCTACAGAAATAAGCAGAGACAAATC